AAAAAAAAAAAAAAAAAAAAAAGATATACATTTCTGTGATCACTTTTTGAAAACATAAAACGTTAAGAAAATATCTGTATGTTCATCTTTGTATCATAGCTGTTTTCATTTTAGCCTATTTTCCTCAAATTCTTAATGTGTATATCTGTCATAGAAATCATACATGTCCTTTTTATTCTACACAGCATATACATTATCCCCATGTTTTCATAAGTTGTTATAATTATTTAATGACTTCATAATAGTGTATATTCTTGCTTCTTTAATTTGTAGATTCCTACCTTGAGTGGGTTTCTAGTTGGGTACTGGTTGGAGCTCATTAATTAGATCATTTGTGAAGAAGAGCAGCTTTCCTTATAAGTGTGTATGGTGATAGGTATGGTTGAACATTTAGGGCTCTAATGGTAATTCAAAGGAATTAGACCACTATTGGCTAGTAAAATGGTTAAAAAAAAAACCAAAACCTTGATTATTTAAAAATACTAGTTCAGGTCATGAAAGTGCAGTATTCTAACACTAGATTGATTGCTCATTTCTTTTTAACCTAGTCAGCTTTCAGTAGGCAGAATTTTTTTGCCTGTGATGTAGCAATGGCCATCCTTTCTATCCTTAGTGGGTATGAGATTTAAATAGGAAATTAGGGCATATGTTTTTTTGTTACTGCAGTAAAATTAAGAGTTTGCATGTAACTAAATACCTTTTTATTGCATCACTAAACAACTTTGTTAATGTTAATCAGTTTCGAATTAGAGGCAGAGGAAGAGCCAGAGGAGTTTTTGCTGGGACAAATACTGGTCCAAACAACTCAAATACTACTTTTCAAAAGAGACCGAAGGAAGAGGAATGGGATCCAGAATATACCCCAAAGAGCAAGAAGTACTTCTTGGTGGGTGTTAGAAATCTGTGTTTATTTGATTTGCATTAATTTTCAAAACATACTAGGTGAATACATTTGAGTACAGATATCCACTACTATGAGAAGATTTCACCATAATGTGAGAAACTTTTTAACAAATTCATTACCCAGGTGATTTGAAATTTTGATAATGTGGGTCCCTTTAGTCTTGTCTATAACTTTCTTGACACTGCATATAGGCTGATCAGGGTAAACTAAAAATATACCTGATTTTGTAGCCACATTCAGAGAAGAACATTTTTATAGTTGAACTTAACATATGTTTCATATCTGTCTGTAAGACAGCAATGGTTATAGAAATTTCACATTGAGATGTAACTTCCATCTTCATAGACAGTTGCTTAAATGAAAGAAAAGGAGAATTCTTTCTTAGTACATGCAATTAAGGATCTCAAGGAGGCCGTCAGCTTTTATTAGAGTGAAAGGAAGATGAAAAATGGAAAAGTTTTTCATTTTTGAAAACTTAGGAAAAGTTGCGAGATATACTGATTTGCTGCTTCTGGGTGATGGAGATACTTTTTCCTTTGAAGTAGTTTTCCAAGGGTGACGTTAGAGGTGGTGGGTCTGAAGAATTCTTTAGATAAGGATAAATATTTTCTGCAGTTTGTCATGGGGAAAAAGGTCCTTCCTGCAATTATAGAAAGAGACTCATGAAAACACCAAAGTGTTAGCAGAGGTATCCATTTTTATTACAGCTTTCAGGGAATTTCCTTTTCAGGTACTAGTTCTGAAAATTAATTGCTTTCAAGGAGGAAATTATTACTAGACTTAAAGATATTATGTCTTTCAGTGGACTTTTTAGGAACATATTTGAATAGACCTGGATGTCCATGACACATTTGCTTAGTTGTAGGCCATAGCTGTCTTCTGAAGTGGATCCTTGGTTTGTTGAAAAATGGGTGATATACTTGTTTCAGAAATTAATATCTTTTTACCTCTTTTTGATATGTTAATGACCTAGAATTCATACGCATTATATATATTTTTCAAAGTACACTAGGCTTAATTTATGCTTTTTTGAGGAGAAATTTGTGCTTATTGAGTCTTAAATTGACAATCTGGAAAGAAAAAGGCATTTGATTCAGGTATAGAAAATTTTATAAGATCTATCTACTTTTGGTTTAAGAGTTAGTGCCTTAACAGACGCCTCTTGGTGCTAGGTACTAAGATGAAATACAAATATGATTCTAATTCTTGGTTTAGAGACTAGTAGTAGAGAAACACTGTAAATTATATGGTGGCTTTTCCCAAAGGAGGAATTGATGGCGTCTATAAAGTAGAGAGTGATTAGCAGAGACCTTTGTAGAGGAACTTGTCTTGAATCTTTAACTTAAGAGATAGGAAGGTAGACTGTGATAACAGAAGGAATGAAACAGTGTGGAAGAGAGAACTCTAGTATTTGAATTGCTAGATGGTTGGTATAAGTTTGGGAAAATTGAGAAAAACATGAGTTAGATTGTGGAAAACCATAATACTTTATTTATTAACAAATTTGGGGTTTAAGCAGTGTAACAAAACCTGTAGTTATTGAATAGCTAGAAGATTTGAGAGATTGAGTGTTTGAACTAAGGGGCTATATTTGAGAGAAGTTGAAAGTAGTGTTCATAGAGATTTAGTCAGGGACTAAGTAGTTGGGTGTTGGTAGTGAGAAGAAGGAATCTAAGATAAGGAATTCAAAGGAAAGTGGCCCTTTGAGAAGATAATGTTCTTTTTAGGATGGGTTGAATTTGAAGTGCCTGCAAGAGACCAAGTGGAGATGTTCAGTGGATAGTTGGTAATGTAGATTTAGAGAAACAAACTAGGAGCCGCAGTCTTGTAGATTACCATTAAAGCTGTGATGAGATCACCTAGTCAGAAGAGAAGAGACTAAGACCCAACATTTCAAAGGGGTTGAAGAGAGTATAACACTGCTGAGAGAAATAGATCCAAGTGTGAAAGGTCAGAAAGTTAAGGAATGAGAGATGAACAAGTAGATAGTTAATTGTTTACCACTTTTAACAATTTATAAATAATTTAGACCTTCATTTTTCTATGGCATTCATTCAGAATCTGGTATCATACTTTTTACCTTAAATTGGTACGTAATTATTTTAGGTTGGCTTTTAATTGGACAGTAGATTTATTAAGAAGAATGTGTTACTGTAAGAATTTAGCCTGTTTACAAGTAACAGTAATATTTTATATGTTGCTATTCTGGGTTATATTTAAAAATACCTTGGTGTCAGCCTGGGTCCAGTGGCTCACACCCTGTAGTCCTAGCACTCTGGGAGGCCAAGGCTGGTGGATTGCTTGAGCTTAGGAGTTGGGAGACCAGCCTGAGCAAGATCAAGACCCCATCTCTACTAAAAACAGAGAAATTAGCCAGATGTTGGAGTGAGCACCTGTCATCTCAGCTACATGGGAGGCTGAGGCAGGAGGATAACTGGGCCCAGGATTTTGAGGTTGCTGTGAGCTATGATGCCACAGCACTCTACCAAAGACAATAGAATGAGACTCTGTCTCAAAAAAAAAAAAAAATCTTTGTTTCTTTATAAAAACACATTTGTCACAGAACATCAAGTAAAATTAACACATTAGACTTTTCCATATAAATTAATTGCTAAAGCTAATTATTACGATTTTTATTTAAGAGCCATTGAAATGGTAGCTTTGGTTTTTACATGGATATTTGAATTTAAAAGATTTGCATCTTATGTAAAGCTACCTTTCGGATAACTAATGGAGAGAGAAAAGAATATAATTCAGGAAAAGTTTAAAACTGGATATTCCCATAGATTCTTTCAGATTAATTGATCAATAGAAACTTTGCCCATATCTATGAAAGTTATGCTTAGTTAACAGGTGACATTTATTGAATATTATGTACTATGTTAGATGCTGTTCCAAGTATTTTACATTAACTTATTTAATGCTTATACAGTCCTTTCGAACTGGGACTATTATTCCATTTTTATAGGTGGAAAAAACAGAGGTATAGAGATTGAGGGGCTTGACCAAAATTGTGTGGCTAGGAGGAATGGGATCAGAATTCAAATCCATGCATTGGACTTTAGAGCCCTCTCCTTAGAGGGTCCTGAAAATACTTTACCATTCATCTTTCAGTACTGAATTATAGTAACATTTGTTACATTCTGTTTTGAAATTCCCCATCTCCAAACTTGAATATATACAAAGGTATGATCCTGTTTTATAAGCAGTCCAGGAGAGATATTATTAATAGTTTTAATTAGAGCCTGGAATTCTGTGGAGGGGTGAGTATGAAGAGTTGGATGGAGCAAGGGGGAAAGTACTGAAGTAGACAGATTTTTGGTGTTGAGTTAATACTGTCTTCTCAGGAAGAGGAAGTCCTTGGTGGGAAAGGGGGTTCAGGATTAGAATTTTGATAAATTAACCCGTTGAAACTTGATATTCTATGGAGAAGAGATACGAGGATTTAGAATGTCTTGGTTCTAATATAGACACCTTTGTTAACATATTTTTGGATGTGTGTAAATATTTAATTTCTGGCCCTTTATTATCTGTGAAATAATTCAAAATTGTAATGGGATTGAAATCTTACATGTAAGATTTGAGGATTAAGGGTATGTTAGCATCAGAAATCTCACGTAGATAGCTACCAGGGTATCCCTAGGAAAGACACAACTTAATCTTGTAGTTGCTAGATTCTTTACCAAGCTTTAGATGATTGTTTAAAGGTAATGGCTAGTTTTCACTGTAGCATGAGTTTTGTCATTGCCTTCTCTATTTCTGTTAATATCGATGTATTTTATAGGTGCTGGTTCTAAGGGATAGTTAAAGGACTAGTGTTGTGACCTTGGGCAAGTTACTTAATTTCTCCGTGCCTCAATTTCTTTAATTCTAACATGGGAATAGTGACAGGGTTGTTGTGAGGATTAGTTCAGTAAATAAACATAAAGTGCACAGAACAGTGTGGAGACCCACATTGTGCACTGTAGCAACATTATTTGTCACTTTTTATTGAGTGCTTGCTCATCTGACGCTGGGCCAGGCACTTTTTACCCAGGTTCTATGTTCTTTCGAGGCTATCCCTTTAATTAAAATGAGGAAGTAAATTTTAGGTTGCCCAAAGTCACAGTTTTTGTTAAGCTTCAAATCCATGCCTCTACTTCAAAACCTGTTTGCCTCTTCTCAGAAATGTATGGAATACAGAGTAAATATCACAAACGAAGAAACAAACTCTAGAGTTCAGTGTGTTATTGCATTAAGGGAGCATGTAATTGAGTAGGTATCATTTTGAATGGCAGACTATTTTAAAGTAGTTTATTTTGGGTTTGCAGTTTAAACTCTTTCTGATGTATTTAAACTTACACTTTGGATAGTTCCAAAATTCGTTCTTTATGGTGTCATATGCATATACTTCTAGCTAGTGATCTTTCATTGGTTTGGTGCAGATAAATTATTACCAGTTGGTAAGTGCTCTTTCATATAGTGTGTACAATGGAGCTTTTCAGGTCATGAAGGAGGGTAATCTGTTAACATGCCAGGCATGTTGTGTTTTGGAAAAAGAAAGCAGATCATAAGAACAATTTTCTAGTAGCTTTTAGAAAACTGGTCAGTACCAGTACTGTGGAGGTTATTTGTGTTTGCATGATACTTCTTTTTTTTGGTAAAAGGGTATCATTTTGCCTTATTTCTCATTTTCTGGGCAGCAAATTTAAGAGTTATTAAATTAGGGTAGGAATAATTTACTAAATTATACATAGGAGACCTTGGCCTTTGGTATTTTAGAATGTAATGTTCATCCCCACTCAATCAGCAATGTCAAATACTTCTTAAAAGTTTTTTTTTTTTTACAGATTATAATTTGTAGTTTGTGGAATATCTGCTTTTCAGTTTTTCAGATTGTTTTGCTTAAAGGAATACTTTATATAATTTGGGAAACATCTGTATTCAAATAGTTAATGAAAAATTGAGGTTGAAATGTGATGGCTGTAGTATTTCAGGTTGGTGAAAAAGAAAAAGGTCTGAGGTATTACTCTAGGCGTCACGTTATTGTGATTTGTTGTTGGAGCTCCCTAGCCCAGAAGATTGATAAGTACTATACATTGAATTAAAAAATATGCAAGGTATAAAATTCATACCACCTATTTTATTTGGTGAGGATTATTTATAATGACATTTTTATGACTTTTGCCATGTCTATATGACTAAGGTAATTTTGTTAGAAAAAGATTATATTTTATCTCATTGTATGCAGCATAATAACAAGTGGACTTAAGATTGAGATAATGGAAGGACAAAAAGTCAGAATTCTGAAAATGAGCAGTAACTTAACAGTTAAGATTCTCTGAACAATTTTCTGAGCAACCCTCAGTCCTTAGGTTACTTATATAGTAAGATAGAATGCTTTTGACAGTGGAATTTATGTATGTATATTTTAATACAAAATTCAGTTTCACTGGCTTTATGTGTTTTTAGACTGTTAATAACTCATACCCCGTCATGATTGAAGAAATAATCATCTTTATAAGAAGACCATTTCATTGACAATTGTTTTTAACCTTTCTGTAGCATGATGACAGAGATGATGGTGTGGATTATTGGGCCAAAAGAGGAAGAGGTCGTGGTACTTTTCAACGAGGCAGAGGGCGCTTTAACTTCAAAAAATCAGGTAGCAGTCCAAAATGGACTCATGACAAATACCAAGGGGATGGGATTGTTGAAGATGAGGAAGAGACCTTGGAAAATAATGAAGAAAAGAAGGACAGACGCAAGGAAGAAAAGGTAGAAACAGTTCTGGTAGATTTTCTTTAGTATGGGTTTGGTGGATGAATTATTTAACTTTTACGAGCAATTATTATTATGGTTCATGTTTCACTGTCCATATCTTCATTAATCTTTAAATTTCTTTCTCTTTTTTCCTTAGGAATAATAAATACGAAGTAAGATTGCAACAGAGAGCAGAACTTGCAACCACATTTTTTTTTTACCTGATTTTTGTTTTCAAATAAGAATGTAAGCATTTTACTTAAATTTTACTGTTTGCAAGTAGTCTATAGAAATTTTGTTTTAAGTCTTCAAATATCTTGAGAAATAGTAGACTGACTGTATGTTGAAAATTGTACTGAAATAAAGTAGATATTGTTAAGTACCATATTTGTAACTATCAACTTTTAAAAACTTTTACTGTTTTTGTTACATGCATTGTAATTCTGCTTTGTCTATAAGATATGGTCAAGTACAGCTCTGTGAAAGTTCTGATTCTCTTCCTTCCCTGTTTGTTAATGTTTTATTCTGAAGTAAACGTTAGCTCTACATACAAATCCCTGAACAGAAATTGTTTATAGAGTCCACACTAATTGTTTTAACTATATACACTTGCTTAATTCAATCACACTACATTGTAGGGTGACTAATTTTTGAAGTATACCAGGAAGTTGTTACTTTGGTAAACTACGCCAGTTTAACAACTTGAACAGATGTTTAAAAAGGAAAAATGTTGCCAACAGCTAAAAAATACAAGCTATTAAAAATTAGGTTGAAAACTTTGAGAAAATGTTATTTTTACTGAAAGCAAGCAGTGGCCTACAAAAAATATTCTTGGAAGCCTTTTCTATTTGGGTTCAGTATTAAGTGTTCTTTTCCTATTCTTACTTGATAGTTTGAGTCATGGTCTTAGAGTTCATCTATTTGAAAGAAGAAACTGGTTTGTAGTAATACTGCAAAAAAACCCCAAAAAACCCAATCCTATCAGTTGTCTTTAATGAAAAAAACAGAACAGAATTTGTAATCCTGGCATTGGTGTGGAGGAGGATAATCAATCCTGCAGAATAAGTTAATATTTTAATACCTTTTTCATATCTTATATATTTATTTGAGCTTTTAGACAGCTGAAACATTAGTTTGTAGTGTAACCCGAAGAAAAAACAGGCAAATGCAACATGCTGTTCATTAGTAGTATTTTAAGTAATATTTTTCACATGTCACCAATAAAAAGTTTTGGCAGGAAGTGTATTGCAGCATTGATCTAACCTGGATTTAACTTTTTTCGCTATTGAAGTTGCAGTTTGTAAAATGCCTTTTTCTTTTTCTTGCCAAGGGTTTATTTTTCAATTGATAATCTTTCAAATGTGAATAACCTTCAATGTTTATTTTGGTAACTCTTAAAGGAATGAAAATCTGAAATAGTAAATTTCAGGGTTAATTTTGTCTGCTTTATGGGCATATGTAAAATTAGCCGTATTTCATTTGTAAATCCAGCAACTGAATTAGTTGTGATTTGCATTAAAAGATAATGTTTATTCTGTTAATGTAAATTTTTGAAGATCTTTAGTGTATGGCTCTTTTATCTTTACTTTGGGTGAGTTGCCATGCGTCTCTGCACCTCGATTACATACAGCTAGGGACATTTGTGAAAGAGCTATTGGAAACAAAACTAAAACCAGACTCAGTATATGTGATTGTATGGCCCTAAGGTTCATAGTATTGTGTGATTTACTCCATTAACTTTGTCTTTCTAAAATTGTTAAGAGGAAATACCTGCCAAAGCAATTAATCAGGACATAATGTTCCCCTATTTAGAATAATACTTCATGTGAAAACAACATGGATGTGATCCCAGACACAGAATTTTTGTAGCCATTTTATTTTATACAAATAAATATAAACTGGTTATTTGGTTGGACATTAAATCTTCGTGCATGACTATAAATGTGGAGTTTTGTTTATCCACTTAAGACAATAGGAAGGGGACGATTTGCTGATAAATTATTTAATAGGGAGTGGGAATAAAGCAACTTAATTCCCAGGGGCAGGTTCCATGTTGAAAAATACCAATGCATTGCTTTAACTTTCGATTAGTTTTATTCTCTTAAACAAACTTAGAGTATCATACCATGCTATATCCTGGTAGGCCAGGGTGGTTGAGAACTCCACAGTGGAATGCCATTTTGGATGTTACATTTTTTTTGAAGGCAAGCATATAAAAAGTAGCCTGTGTATTTTTTTAAATCACAATTTAACTTCACACTTTATGACATGTTATAAAGGCTGAATGGTTCCTCTTAGTAAGGGTATTTGTTTACAAGTGCCAGGAAATAACTCTTTGATAAGGTACATTAACAGACTAGAGAAAGGAAGTAAAAATGAACCAAAGGATATTTCTAGAAAAAATTAAGAAAGCTATTTAAGACGGCCATGACTCAGTTTTTGGCATGTATGTATACCTTTCAACATCGTAGGAATTTTTATATTAAAAGCAAAATATGTTTTTCCAGTTACAGTCTACTTTAAGGAATTACTATTGTTCCCTTTTCACAGGTAAAATCACTGTTGGGAATTACAATTTGAGAAAAAAAAATCCAATAAGAATGAATGTAGATGGCTAAACGATTCTTACTCAGTGTAATGTATAATGCAACAGGGACCCTTGTAAATTGTCATGCCAATAAAATGTCATAAGTGGTAATAGCTGTTGTTTGTTTACCTGATTTTGAGACTATTCCTAATGTCTGTTCTATACAACTCATTTCTGTGGCCTATTTCTAGTATTAGCTCCTCTGTTAGAAAAATTACTGGTATAGTGTGGCTTGATAAATGCTTTATAAAATTCCTCAAACCTCTCCTTAAGGTTTTTTCTTGTCTCACCTGGGAAAATGGGAAGTTTTGTAGTTGGTAAGTTTAAGCAAGCCATTATTTAAACATATAAAATTCCAGGGGCAGCGCCTGTGGCTCAGAGGAGTAGTGCACTGGCCCCATTTACCCGAGGTGGCGGGTTCAAACCCAGCCCCTGCCAAAAATTGCAGAAAAACCCACCAACCTATAAAAACATAAATTCTAGATTTTTAGTTCCCTTTTCCATGTTAGTATGGAACCATATCAGCTGTATTATGATGGAGAGGACTTCTCTTCCTTTCTGAAAATATAGTAACTGGGTAATAAGTAAAAAGAATTATCCTTTTTAGTCTTTTTTCACTTTGAGTAAGATCTGGTGTAATTCTCAACATACTCTTACAGATTATTTGAAATATAAAGTGTGACATTCCATCAACTTAAAAGTATTCTCACAAAAATTTGTGCTGAGATGAATCCATACATTTTGACTCCGACAAATGACAGATTATCCCTTAAAAATGTGAGAGAAATAACTCTGTAAAAAGATGTGTAAGTAGTTTAAATATATTCAGTGATTTTTAATGTTACATACAAGTTTTATATATAAATATATACTATGTTACTTATTAAAGATAGTTTACTTTTTCAACTGCAGTCACTCTGGGGGATATACCTTAAGTTTACATAAGGAACAGTATTCTTTTACATTTAGAAAAAGATGTGCAGAGTGCATCCCAATTTTAAAGAGCTAAGTAGGAAAAGGCACATGGAGAAATAAACGTTATTGTAATGGGATTAATTTAGCTAGACTTAAGTCTTGAATATGCCTTAAAATTTGGGAGTTATTTTACAGTTTAGAATTCTCACATTGTTGTTAAATCTGAGTGTTATGGGTCTAATTTCATTTTATTGGTGTAGACAAAAAATTAGGAGTTTCTTTTTTTTTTTTTGGCTGGGGCTGGGTTTGAACCCCATCACCTCAGGCATATGGGGTTGGTGCCCTACTCCTTTGAGCCACAGGCACCGTCCCTCTTCTTTTTATTTATTTTAAATTTTTTTTTTTTTTTAGAGACAGCGTCTCACTTTATCGCCCTCAGTAGAGTGCTGTGGCATCACAGCTTACAGCAACATCCAACTTCTGGGCTTAAGCAATTCTCTTGCCTCAGCCTCCCGAGTAGCTGGGACTACAGGCGACCACCACAATGCCTGGCTATTTTTTGTTGCAGTTTGGCCAGGGCTGGGTTTGAACCCACCACTCTCAGTATATGGGGTGGGTGCCCTACCCACTGAGCCAAAGGCGCTGCCCAAATTAGGAGTTTCTTAATGATCTGTAACTGAGCTAAGTTTTTTAGAGGGTTTTGTTATCACCCAGGCTGGAGTGCAGTGGTGCAGTCACAATTCCCTGCAACCCCATACTCCTGGACTTTCAGCTGTTCTGCTTCACCTTCCCAAGGTAGCTAGGAACATAGGTGTGTTCCATCACACCCAGCTAATTTAAAAAAAAAAAAAATTTTTTTTAAGAGAACAGAGTCTGGCTATGTTGCTCATGCTAGTCTCAAAACTCCTAGCCTCCAGCAATCCTCCTACCTGGCCTCCCAAAGTGCTGGGATTACAAGTATAAGCCACCATGCTTGGCCTGAATGAATAAGTTTGTTTTGAATGAACAAGTTTTAAGTTTCTTAAAATTAGGAATGTCTAGAAATATATTGTATTCCCATTGTTTGATGGGAGAGCCTCAGAGATTGTATTATTTATGAGATGGAGTCATGTTTTAGAAACATGAAACATGCAGTAATGGGCTCACCACCTATAGCTCAGTGGTTAGGGCAGTGGCCACATACACCAAGGAGGTTTTGAACCTGGCCCAGGCCTGCTAAACAACAGTGACAACTGTAACAAAAATAGCCAGGTGTTTTGGTGGGAACCTGTAGCTGCTTAGGAGGCTGAGACTAGAATTGCTTAAGCCCAAGAGTTTGAGGCTGTTGTGAGCTGTGATCCCACGGCAACCAAGTGAAACTGCCTCAAACCAAAAACAAACATGCAGTAATGATGAGAGGGTGTCAGTTATGCTGATGGGGCCAAAATTGTATAGATGAGGGTGCCAGATTTTTTTTTTTTTTTTTTGACACAGTCTCACTATGTCACCCTGGGTAGTATTTCGAGGCATCACAACTCACAGCAACCTCAAACTCTTGGGCTTAAGCCATTGTCTTGCCTCAGGCTCCCCCCCCCCCAAGCTGGGCCTACAGGCGCCTGCCACAATGCCCATGGCTATTTTTTGGTTGCATTTTTTTCGTTGTATTTGTCATTGTTTAGCAGGCCCAGGCTGGGCTCAAACCCTCCAGCCTTGGTGTATGTGGTTGGCGCCCTACCCACCAAGCTATGGGTACTACCTGTGTATCTTAATTATAATGATGTGTACATAGGAATTTTTTTTTTCCAATGTACATTTTAGGTGTTATATTTATAGCACATTTATTTATTTATTTATTGGAGACAGAGACTTAAGCTGTCGCCCTGGGTAGAATGCCGTGGCCTCACAGCTCACAGCAACCTCCAACTCTTGGGCTCAAGCGAGTCTCCTGCCTCTGCCTCCCAAGCAGCTGGGACCACAGGCGCCCGCCACAACGCCCGGCTATTTTTTTTTTTTTTTTTTTTTTTGGTTGCAGCTGTTGTTTGGTGGGCCGGGGCTGGATTCGAACCCGCCACCTTAGGTGTATGTGGCTGGCACCTTAGCCTCTTGAGCCACAGGTGCTGAGCCTATAGCACTTTTAAAATGCAGAAGATAGGCTGGGATGGCTCACACCTGCAAGACTTCATCTACAGCGGTTCTCAACCTGTGGGTTGCGACCCCTTTGTAACAATGAAAATACATCAGAGGCACCTGTGGCTCAAAGGAGTAGGGTGCTGGTCCCATGTGCCAGAGGTGGCGGGTTCAAACACAGACCCAGCCGAAAAATGCAAAAAAAAAAAAAAACCACAATGAAAATACATCACCTCTTTAGGAAGGTTGAGAACCACTGATCTACAAGGAATAAAAAGATTAGATGGACCTGATTATGTATACCTGTAGTCCCAGTTACTTGGGAGGCTGAGGCAGGAGGGTTGTGTGAACCCAGGACTTTTGAGGTTGCAGTGAGCCTGTGATGACACCACTACACTCTAGCCTGGGTAATAAAGGAAGACTCAAAATTTAAAAGAAATAGATAACTTGTGAAAAAGAGGTGGACAAGCGGGCTTTAATGCTATTTCCCCAAAAATCTGGGTTGAAGTTTTCTTGATAATCTCTTTGGGTTGCCCAACTTCTGATTGAAATAATAATTAGCTCTCCTTTTAATAAAGTAGATGATAGCAGTTATGTGATATAATTAGGTGATGTGAAATGATTCACATCATTTTGTGACAATGAGTACAAACTATATATTTGGCAGTGATAACTCTTGGTACTGTCATAATGATTCCAATTTTTTTTTTTTTTTTTTTTTGGAGACAGTCTTGTCTCAAAAGAGACAAGGTCTCTTGGTCTTGACTCTACTTGGTCACCCTTGGTAGAGTGCCTTGACGTCTTAGCTCACAACTACCTCAAACTCTTGGGTTCAAGTGATCCTCTTGCCTCAGCCTGCCAAGTAGTTGGTACTACAGGCGCCTGCCACAACACCTGGCTATTTTTTAGAGATGGGGTCTTGCTCTGGCTCAGGCTGGTCTTGAACCTGTGAGAACAGACAATCCTCCTGTTTCGGCCTCCTAAGTGATAGGATTTCAGGTGTAAGCCACTGCAACCAGCCAGTGTACATCGCTGTTTTCTTCATGGCACTATCCCCATAAACTTGGACTAACATGCGCCTGATTTCACTTTCACTTTTGCCAATTTAACAAGAAGTTAATGTTTGTTCGTTGGTCTAATTCAAGCTCTGACATTCTTGCAATGGCATAGAAAACTATGCCACAACAATAATGAATGCCACTCAGCAAGACACCACCACACATCGACATGAACACAGCTGTGGGACACTGATATACAATGTTATTAAACCTCACCCAGTTTGCACAGTGCTGGTTCCTAGCCATGAGCATGGTATGTTTTTTGATTTGTTAACATCTTCAGCTATTTCTTAGAGTTTCATAATTCTTTATAGAGATCTTTCACATCCTTTATTAGGTAAATTCCCAAATATTTGATCATCTTTGGCACAATTGTAAAGGGAATAGAGTCCTTGACTTTTTTCGTCTTGACTATTATTGGTATATGTAAAAGCTACTGATTTGTGAGTATTGATTTTGTATCCTGAAATACTACTGTATTCCTTGATCACTTCTAAGAGTTTGTGGTTGAGTCCCTGGGGTTTTCCAGGTATAAAATCATATCATCTGTGAAGAGTGAAAGTTTGATCTCCTCTGACCCTATTTGTATACCCTTGATCGCCTTCTCTTGCTTGATTGCAATGGCTAAGACTTCCGTTATAATGTTAAAAAGCAGTGGAGACAATTGGCAACCTTGTCTAATCTGAGTGGAAATGTTTTCAATTTTACTCCATTCAATATGATATTTGCTGTGGGTTTGCTGTAGATGGCCTGTATCAGTTTAAGAAAAGTCCTTTCTATATCTATTTTCTTAAGTGTTCTCATCATGAAAGGATGCTGGATATTGTCAAAAGCTTTTTCTGCATCTATTGAGAGAATCATATGATCTTTGTTTTTTAGTTTGTTTATGTGATGTGTTATATTTATAGATTGACATATATTGAACCAGCCTTGAGACCCTGGGATAAAACCCAGTTGGTCATGGTGTATAATTCGTTTGATGTGTTGCTGGATTCTGTTTACTAGGATCTTATTGAATATTTTTACA